TGGTAATCGCGCAGGCACACTGTATATTACCACACTAAATGGGTGGCACTCGTCACCGGCGCGACCGTCGTTATAGTCCCGAATCTTTCGCGACTCTGCCGCGACGGCGGCGGTAGGGGGGCGGGCATCAAACCCGCGGGCCACGGGTCTATACCGTACACTATTATAATACGCACTGCACCTGCAGGTTGTATGGTAATACGTATATACATATACTCGGTTTGGCAATTAGTTTTAAGCACGAGGACAAAAGGCGACGGGGAAACTTATAATTATCGCGGACGGGCACGAGGCGGTGACGGCGAAGTGTTCACCGGCCCGTAAAACGCGTCGCAACAAACCGCTGCCGCCGCCGCGTATTCGACTGGAACGAAGACCGGCCCGACGACTATTATTATACGATCTCGTCCCGTCAGAGAATCGCGAGAGAAGTACGCCATACTTACGTGTATAATAATAATAATATAGTCCATTGTACACAATCATCGCCGCCACCGCCACCACCACCACCACCACCACCACCAACGCTACGACGTTTGTTTTCGTATTAAATAAGCGTGTGCGTAATAAACGGCGTATACGCCACGACGAGGCGTGCAAGCAAAAAGCACATCGCCGCGGCGCGCCAAAAACAATAACACGGTTAATTTGATTTGTGCCCCGGACGGGTTTTTTCCGCCGACACGTAGCCGCGGCGAATCGTCTATTTGTATACCCACCCGCAGCCACTGGAGCGCTGTAAACAACTTTTCCACCGGTCATATCGCTCGGATTTTGTAGTAGTATCTTTTTCGATAGAAAACTGCACCTATAGTTTGGTGCGTTGTTGTGGACGTGCAATCAGTTTTTGATTTTTTTATAGTTTTATTATTTATTGATTTTCTTATTTTGTTGTAATTTGGTTGGGAATAATATTGTAGACACCTTGAAATTTCGCAAATTAGGTTTATTCATATTTTATAAAAATGGTAAAATTTTGAAAATATTCTAATGATTTTCGACCTATTTATAGGTATTTAATAATTTAGATTTTTGTTAGGTTCATGCGGATATAATTGTTTTAACTAAGAAGAAATGTTTGCTAATTTATATGAAGTTCGTCATAAGTTTAAGTTAATGGTAAAACAAGTTAGATGTAATTCAGCCGTTTTTCGGATCGACAAGGCCAACAACATATATACAGGCTGTCCCACGAAGATTTACCTCTTGAATTTATCCAGTAGTAATAAAGATAATCAAATTCTGATTTTTTATATTACTCACAGGGATGAGGATTTCAAATTTCTAGGGAATAACATAACCGCGTTACGCGATAACATCAGTATTCATAGGGATTAGTAGAATTGAAAACAGCTGTTACTTAGAAACTGCTTATCAGATATAAATGTGGGATACATTAAAATTTTCAAAAAAATAAACTCTATAGAATGGTTATCTTAAAATTTTCAGAATTAATAAAATAAAAAGGTTTTTTTAATTTTTTACTAAAACAAAAATTGTATTCAAATGTAATATTTTTAGTCCTAATCCCTGTGAGTGAAATAAAAAAAAAAAAAACATAATTTGATCATCTTTATTATCTCCGGAGATATTCAAGAAGTATATCTTCATGGAATTCAGCCTGTATATACTCGTATAAAATAATTATAACTATTTAAATCATTTTTTTAAAAAAATGAAAAACATCTTCACCGCAGAGGTGATGAGTTTTTAAACAGTAAGAGAGCAGTTTTTATCAAAAATTTCATATGGATCAAGTAAAGATTTAATTTAGACCGATATGGCTAAAATTGAAACATTTAATGTGTGGTGATTGAGAAGAGCTCTGAAAATCACATGAATCAATGAATCAATGAATAAGGGTTGAATATGATATTATTTTTAAGATAGACCCGCAGAAGTCAATAACATGGAACAAGCTTAGGAAATAGACAAAGAAGTTGATTGGATAATTAATAATAATAGTAATAATAAGTTGTAATGAATAACGCTTGTTTAACGTCAATATTCGAGGGACAAATTAATGGAAAGACAGGAGTGAGGAGGCTGGTCATGAAGCTAGTGATTAGAGACATCGGAATTATTGTAATAATTTATTGAACTATTGAATTATTGATGGAATTATTTAATAATGAACTTATTAGTTAAAAGAATTACAAATGATATGGGTGACATAGAGTGCAGACTATGTATTATACAGACGGAGAGAAATATCGAATATTTAACATATCTCAGGACTAAACGTCTGGACAAAAAAAAATACTAACGGCATGGAACTAAATATTTATAAATGCTCTGCAATAATTTTTACTTTAAAACAAAAAGCACTGCGCTTTAAGTTGATATAAACGGTGTCGTCCTGCTGTGTAGCCAGGGTTGGTTTAGGTTTTTTTTTTTATCTAAAACTTTGCGATTTCTGCGTAATATCGGCGATTGGACTTAAACGTGGCGGATTATCGGACGAAAATAAAACGATAGTGAGCTACTGCTTAATCGTTTAATGCTACGATATTATTGGGTATATGTGTATTCCGTACATTGCTTACTTAAAAAGTTCCACGTGACAAACAGTAAAAAACGAGTTTGGCGCTTTTGTACAGCACGTTTCCTTGTAGTTCAAGAATCATTGTGTGACATAAAAAATAGCTTTATAGTCCTAACCTAACTTAACTTAACCAGAAAAAAAAACGGACATGCTTCGCACGGTAGGTGAGCAGCCGTTGTAGGTGAAAAGTTGGGAAGGTAGGATATAGAGAGAAATTTAATGAATTTTCGTATGCAACGATTAATCATTGCTAACAAAAAATGATTATGAGTGGAGTTGGGTTATGCATGTTTTTAAAATGCCGTAATGTTTACGATTTTCATAAAAAATTGTATATTACGAGTCTTAAATATATATATATAAAAAAAAAAATACTACATTAAGCTAGATTTTTTTTTCCTAAGTACAACTTTGAATGAATCACCTGTTAAATTTCAAGTATTTCTGTTTAGTCTAAAAATTGTATCTATATTATCTATTAAATGAAAATTACGTAAAAAAAATCACAAAATTAAAATGTCTATAATTAGTTCAAAAATAGTCAAAATGTTTCGAAAATTTTACCACGTCTATAAAAGAAAAATATAACGTTTTTTCTAAATTTCTAGTCTCTACAAAATTTTTTAACTGAATGACAATAAAAAACAAAAATTAAATTTATAAAAGCATTATTTTCGTAAATTTTCACGATTTTAGATTTCGAGCGTAGTGAGTTTTCCAATTATTTTGAAAATTGCTTGAAAAATCAAAAAATAATAAAGTACCATCTCAGGAAAATTTTCTTTCAGAAAAGGTTCTATATATGAAAATTACAGCAAGATTTCTTGTGGGATTATTGTCCTCATTGTAAAACCAATCAATTCCTCGTTTATTAACTCAGAATATAAAAAGGCTATTATGGATTAAAATATTAGTATTTGAATACCTTCTGTAAATATTACCGTTAGAGCTGTTACTGGAGATGGGAGCGGCCACTATTGTAGGTGAGAAATTGGGAAGGTAAGATACATAAGGTTTTTCATTTATATCTGAAAGCAACGATAAACCATTGCTTGACGAATGACGATTCCGAGTACAGTTCGGTAATACATAATTTGAAGTGCCGTAATTTTTTTTGTGATGATTTTAATTTAAATTTAATTTCAAAACGCTTATTAAAAGTCGTCCGATGATTTTAAAAATGTTACCACATCTAGTCTAGGTAAGTCCAATATAAATATTATTACCAAGTTTCAAGTCTCTACGTGTATTAATTACCGATATATAGCAAAAACCTCCCAAAAATTAAAATTCCTTAAAAACTCAAAAATGGCTAAAAAGTTTTGGAGATGATGCTGTAAGAAAGTAAATCAAAATGGTATCTTATGATTTTTCGATTGAATCTTTTTTTCTGGTAGAAAACGTCGTCTGTGTTTTTATAAAATAATGCAATCGTGAAATTGTACGTTTTCCCACGTTTTTTTTCTCACTTAAGTGCTTTTATTTAAAAAATGGAGTTGAAAATCAAAAAATGACTCTTTAAAAGTTTAATCTAGACAATTTGAGCTCTCAGAAAAATTGTAATTCGTAAAGATCGGAGCAAGTTCAATAGGAAAAAACGTGTTTACAGACTAGAACAAAGAAAAAGAAGAAATAAACAGCATTGTAAAACCAATGGCTCCCTGCTACCCTCGGAATCTAAAATTAGACAACTAAAAATGGAAATACAATATTTTTTGATAGCTAACACTGTCTTATTATTAACTAGGAATACTGTATTTTTGTTTATCGATACGCTACTGTCACATAATATTGTAATATCGTCGTAATATTATTTTTTGTTTCGAAAATTAATGATTTTATAATATAATAAAATATGAACTTATTATATAGTTTATTTCCTTACTACGGAAGTGAATTTCAACGAAAGGAGTCTTTTTATATACCGTGCAATTTTCTTGATGTTTTCAAGACGTCCTGTAGGTATATGTAATTTTATTTCCGTCGTACCGGTGAACTTTTTCTCTCTTTTTATCTTCTTACAACCGAGGATTTAACTACCTACCTAGTATACTTTTTCGAACTGTAGGTAACTCTTTGTTGCGGGAAGCTGGTGAATAATACATATTTTTACTCCGGTATAAGATGCTGTTGTAGGTAGTAGGTATACACACAATAGACATTAAATCATGGAATATTAAGCTTACGACTCGGGTCGACGATTTTCTCCAAAACAAGGGAAACGTATTCAATACCATTAAAAAGAAATAAAAAAAAAAAGCGTCGTATTTTTTTTAAAATTTCTTTTCGGTTTACTGGTCTACATTTTATCTCCTGTATAAACAATAGTAAATAAGTGATTATTATTATAGATAGTTGGGTTAGGTTATTATTTCTGGTTAAAAAAAAATCCAACAATTGATTAAAATTTTACCGTTTATTTATATATGATGAGCACATGTCCGTATTTACATAGGTCGAGAATAATAATAGTGAATATAATAATATATTATATATAGCTTAAAAAACAAACAAAAAAAAAATTTTTTTTTAAAAGAACTATTACAATAATATAATAATATATATATACATACACACACATATATATATAATATATGTATATATATATATATATATATGGTAACATCAAAGTGGCACAAGATTACACAAACATGGCTTTATACACAAAAATTTATAGGTATAGGTTTAGAAAAAAAATCCAACGCAAAATGATAATATTGTACGTAGGAAGATAGTAGTATAATAGTATAATAGTAATAATAATAGGTTTATGTATATATGTATACATATATATATATATAATAATACTTTTTATAAACAAATCGTATATTATTAAATCTTATAAAATCAATATCGTAATATTACTGAAAACACAAGGAGCAGAGGGTAAGTGGTCACGCCAATTCGGAGACTTTACCGATTGAATAATATTGTGTATCATTTTTTTTTTTTCTATTGTATGTATATCTAATATATAAGCGGTTTATAAACATAATAATACTGCATCACCACGTTTACACGGAATCGTTAGTACGTCAATCTAATTCGTATTTAGTTCAGCTTGCATTTAAGCGCACTTTTGCTACACGTTTTTTAATCGTATCAACTCTAAGTCAAGTGTTAAGAAATGCATGTAAACGGTAAGCAGATTATATTTTTGGTAAAAATTGAATAACAAATTATATGTGATACATAAAATTATGTATTATTCATTTATAATTTATACGTTTTATTTTACATGCGTTTAATCCTAATATTTGGCATATATATATATTATATAATTTATAAACCTGCACACGAATTTGCATTAACTAAGATTATTTACTGTGTATTATTAGCGACTATATATAAACGTGGTATGTGTATAATAACGGTAGTCCGAAGACGGGGCATAATTCGAATTACAAGTATTTTGGATTTAACCGTAGACACCGACAGAAATTATGTTATTGAGTATTCTCGAAAGTCTCGTAAATTAATTTACTATAGGTATAACATTATTTTCAAGGGCGACCAAAAAGGGCGGGTCAAGGAGATAATGATTCCTCCTCCTAGATCATAGACAATGTAAATTGATAATGTATAGTTTAAAATACTGTTATTTTAATTTTAAATAATACAAAAAAAGAAACGTGAATATGATTATTTTTATAATTTTGATTTCTAGTGTAAATTGGAGTTGTTCCCCTCTGTATATTTACTTTTAGAAATGTCCTTGATTATTTTTCATTTTTGTAGTAGTTGGGTCGTTAGTTTAAAGTCCTAATCATAATGGCTTTTTACAATTTGTTAACATTTTACAATCGATACGTTTTAACGATTCTAAACAAAAATAGTTTAATCAGTTTTAATTTCCATATTAATAAGGAGCCACCTTTTTTTTAGCACGCTTTACTGGATAAAATTCTTACGTCTCGTAGAGTTTTCGATGGAAAAACAAGTCACGATGCAGTTTATCGAATTTGTCCAACAGTAAGCTGTTTTTTGAGATTTGTTTTTAAAATTTTTGGTGCACCGATATATTTAATTAAAAATGTATCCTTTTGTTTGGTTATTTGTTTCAGATCTAAATAGTAAGTAGTGCAATTTATATTGTATGCAGCATTAAAAGTAAGTAACAACAGGACCTATAGCATTTTCTTATATTTTGCCGTGTCATTAAATCTAGCTGCATCGCTGCAGACATTTATGTCATGTTACGAGTTCAAATATGACTTCTGAATGTGCTTTTTTAAAAATAGTTTTTTCGATATTTTCTGCTTTGTGATTACGTAAGCTATTGATAAAACCCGAATCCCTCCCCCCGTTTATGATTTTTAAATAATTTTACCTTTGCATTTTATTTTGCAACTCTTTTTTTTTATTTGTTTGTGTTATCTTATCTGTTTTTGTGTCGGTTGTCACTAAGCATGAGGAATTCAAATACGCGAGTTCAGTATGAAAGAGATGGAATAATTCAAATATGAAATTCGAAAATACTGTTTTGCGTACTTCAAGTCCCCATAATAATAATAATAATAATAAACAAATGTTTTTACTAGTTTTTCAAATATTTTACAAGTGCTTGTTTCATGGTGATAAGTTTTCTAACACTTTTTTAAAGCGTTTAACCGCTATAAGTTCCGAATACTGTTATTAAATTATAATAAACGCACCTATATATATAATATTATAATGTACCATATGAGTGAATCGATCAGTCGTATTTTGAGTCTTTATTAAGTTATAATATTATAATAGTTGAAAATAATAATAATATAATACAAGAGATCACGTGATTGATGTACGGCTAGGTTATGGCTAGGCTATGCCTAACACGACGCATGTACATAAAAAAAATGTATAATATTGTTCGACGACTCGCAGTGATAAAAAAAACTATTATAAATATGAAATTAGTATTTCTCGGTCACTCCATTAACGAAACATTGAAGTTATTTTTAAGAAAAACGTGTATTTATATTTTTTCTAAAACGATTACCGTACAGAAACAATAAATCTCAAAACCATAATACTGTTCCTATAATAATCAGTGATATTCAGGGGAGTTATTGTTTTGAGAGCACATGCAGTTGAAAAAAATATCCACCCATAAACCCTTTAATTTTTTTTAAAGGCTTTTTAAGCTTCGTCGTGACTTCAATACACTAGTAATCTACATCCATCCCTTTCCTTTGTGAGAATTAATGCAGTTGCATTACTATTGACAATAATAATAATAATAATAATAAGAATAAGAATAATATTATGATGTTATTATTTGATTAAAATTCGTTTGTCCTTAGCGCATCATTCACGTTATACGAAGTTCACTAAACATGCTTTTAATATATATTTTTCGGAAACGGAAATTATTTACATACACATATAACAGACGCGGTATTCGAATATTTCGTATTTAAGTACACTTTTATTATTTCAATAATAATAAAATACAATAAATAAAGAGCTTAAAAATAATTTGAATTCTTGGGGAGTTTGTATTTGGGACTGGAGGGGGGAGGGCGAAGCCTAAAAAATGTCATTAGAGAATTTATAACCCTTCGGTAAACTATAAGAGAAAAATATTTCACTGGTGATTATTGACCGTGGGAGAGGCAGGTAAAATTTCACTAGAAACATTTGACCGTGGGGTAGTTTTCATCAGAGAAATATTAGCGGTGATGGGAGGGGGTGAATCATATTTTCGATTAAATTGGTATGGTGATTTAAATAAAAATTCGCTATTACAATGAATGGCTTGTATGTATATTACTTACATTGTGAAATATCTGAATATTTTTCGTATAATATATGAATTCATAGAAAACGCGATAACGCACGGATTATTAAAATATTACAACATATTGTTTTCGATAACAAGAAACACGAGTTGCACAAAACGGTAACGAAAAAAAAAAAAAACAAAATACTTAACGTCGAAAACCGTATGCTTGGGTTCGGGGAGCAAAGGGAGCATACAATAATACATAAAGACCCGACGAACGGATAGTTATCTAGAGACTATTGGACTATTGGATTCATTTTTTTTTTTTTTTTTTTATTTTTTTTTATTTTTGTTTTATACAAGTTGGAGATTTTTTTTTATCTCCGTTCGATCGAATACACCTATAGATGTTCACCTATATACCTCCTATTGGTCGCGTATTACATTATATACGTCATATACGAGAGCTTTATTTATTATTTTTTTTATCGAAATCTCGACCGAAACGAATTTTGCTATTTCCGACGGTAGTATAGGTACTCGAACTATTGTTTACTGCACAACTGTGAAAAATCGTCACGAAAACGTTTCCGGCTCGTTGATCTCGTATACACGAGAGTCCGCGACGATATGACTTTTTATAAAGCTGTTCATCGCAGACCAAGACCATAATGCGATATACGATATCACCATAATACGGCGATCAATTTTTTTTCAATTCCGGTCAAACAATGTATGGAAACAATTTCCCGTGCGATGAAAACAATTTTTTAACATCGACGAGAAACATCGAAGTGTTTTAATATAATTTTTCTCGCGTATTGAAAATTTGCCGTTATACGAGCTAAGGGATACATTTTATCGTTTAACCTGCAGTGATGCGTTATTTGGGAGGGGGGAAAATGGATCGCAACTTGTATATTTTCCCTGGTTTAATATATAGCGGTAAGAGGGCTGGAAACAATTTCCAAACTTTTTCAGATTTGGACAATTTAAAAATACATTTTTATCTTTTAACGACCATTTATCTTAGTGATAAGATTTTTTCAATAATCTCCTGTCTGATACCCATTTAAAGGGAAAAGATACGGCTGTTTTTACGGACAAATATGACTTTTATATCCATAAGCTGGAGTAGAAATGTATTCACTACCGCTTGTTGCCTAATTTATATTTTGAAAATGTATTGGATATGTTTGAATTATTGTCTATGTTTTGTAGAATATTTTCGTTGGTGTATTTTTATTTAGTTGATTTGGTTAAAGTACATGATGAGGTTACCATTTTTTTTACTGAATAATAAACTCGTACTTAAATGATAAGTGCTACGAAAAATAAATAAAACGAAAATATTTGTCTACAAAAACGTAGAAAATAAGTGTAGGTACGAAGTTAAATAATTTTTCAAAACAAAAGCTAGACTAATGGTTTAAAGTAAAACTGGACTAGAGTAAAACGAACTATAGTTATACGTGTAACCGCCTCAAGCCTTTTTTTTAAAAGCCAGAGATTCAACAGTAAACTAAAATCGGTTATAACATTATAAGTGTTTAGGTGCTATAATTTGTTTTATGCGAGTTTAATTAGCGAAAAATACCGTTCAGTTGCGGCAAACCCATTGCCCCGGGTCCAGCGACGAAAATATACGAAAATGGCGCCACTGCAGGGTATAACGGCAGAACGATCACTTATCCCCGGGTCGTTGGTCCGCGGCGAGTCGCTGTACGCGCCGTTATTGCACTCGGTTTTCGTTTTTTTTTTTGGACAGTTTCGACGTGATGATATTTTACGTAACGCACGAAATTTAACTCGACCGCGAAACCCGCAGTCGGGTACCTACGCGAGACGTGTAAATTCGCCCGTTATTTATCACTCCGGTTCGAACGCCCCGGCCGTTATATAATTATATCATAACAACGTCAACAACAACAACAACAACAACAACAACAACAAAAACAACAACAACATTAATAATAATAATAATAATAATAATAATAATAATAATATCAAACAGTAATGAATATAAATATTTATCGTAAGTTAATACGGCGTTCGGTAAACCGTGTTATTTAATTACGCCGATACTGAAAAACGGGTGATGGGGTTAAACGAAATTCGCGGCGTACGTAAATATATGTAAATATACGGTGTGTATTGGTGGCTGACGACGGGGTCCGTTACCGCGGTGGTCGCCTTGTTTTGCAGGTTATTATGACACCACCCGGGCCGTGACGACACCGGTCGGGCCGCCGCGGCCTCCTCAAACGGTCGTTTCGACTGGGAGGCTCGCGCCGCCGTCGTCGTCGTCGTCGTCGTCGCCGTCGTCGTTTTGTCAACACACGCTGTCCTTGCACTCCAGGTACAGGTCGTCCGAGGTGGACGGGTACCGTTTGCCTAGGGGGTCGCCACCCGCGATGCCGCCGTTTTGGTCTAGGAACCGCTTGTCGACAAAGTGCATCGTCCTGTCGATCCCGGCCACTTCTCCGGCACCGGTCCCGGACGTTTTCTGTTGCGAGCCGGTCGCACGACGCCTGCCGTCCGCGGCCCGGCGGCTGCAGGCCTTGCACCGCAGGCACACCACCGCGGCCACGACGGTGACGGTGAACAGCACCGCGGCCGTGCCGCCCAGCACGCTCACGTACACCAGACTTATGCCGTTCCGGTCCGCGCAGTTGACCGGATCCTCGTCGAAACCCATCGGACAGTGTGGCACGCCGTCGCACCAGAACAGCGAGCTGATGCACGCGTTCAGTTCCGGGCACCTGTGGACAAGTTAAAGCGCTGATTTATAATGCATACGTTATAGGTGGGAAATTCCGCCGCGGTGCAGAAAATACGCAAAAAACGCAGACCAATCAGTGATAAGCCTTTTTACACAGACATTTAAATTTCATATTTGTAATCGTCGTCACGCGACATGCATTTCAATTAATTTGTCGACCAGAGTTCAGTGAAACGACTTATTAGGATCATGTCGCAATCAAATTTGCATAATAAGTGTTTTCGGGTCTTCGACTGTATTCTGGCTCGGTTAGGTTAGGTCATCACAGTAAGAAACCACAAACGATTTTTTGATCCGTCTATTTCTATTGACAAAGTACTTTGAAATAAACAAACCCAGTCGATTTCGGTTATCTTACACCATCTTTCACCGTTTAATATCGGGGGACTAATAGAACAACGCTCGCGCCACCTTTGCATAAAACATCAATTTCATCACTAGATTATTAAGAACGATTATATATGTATACATTATATTTTTGCCTATATATCCAGCAAAACCTCGTAAGTCGATTTTAAAATATTTTACAGGAGAAGTGCAAAATTGTGGTAGACTTAAGAATTTATCAAAGGAAATTTGAAATCGCTAGATAGTCGACGATGTGTTTTCTCAGAAGGATTTTTTTTTTAAAAATTCCATTAATAAAGGGATTGGTGAAGGTGTATGGGTTATTATGATTGTTTGGATTGTTTAGGGTTTTGTATGATATGTTGGACGTACAAATCTAATTATTTTACTCGAAACCGTAAAATAATTTGATTGTATTTTTGAAATTTCTTTGAAAATTTACCAAAAGCATTTTGCCTTTTATTCGATTAAACATATATTTACAAATAATCAATCAAACGTATCCTAGTAAAGGACCTATAGAATCATAATACGTTTTCAAAATTGAAATTGGTCTTACGTCCAAAACGTCGTATTTGTCCCTAAAAACGGCTATGCTCCTTAAATGGGTATCTTTCAGTAGATTAGTGGAGATGTTTTATTATTAAAGTGGTCATTAAATGGTAAAATATCGTTTTAAAATTGTAGTAAATTTGGAAAATCGTTACTAAACCTCCTCAAGATACCTACGAAAACAATTGTAAATGTTGTTGTTATTCGGTGAAATAATTTTCGTAAATTATCAGAACCAGAGTACCGTCGGAAACGCATTTATACTATATCGCCCTTTATGGAACAGCAGAGATATGGCAAATGCTATTACGTGATGACTCTTTTTCCTTAATACGAGCCGAGAAAAAAGGTACTCGCCATTACATTTCATGTTACAATATTATAGCCAACGAGTTTATTGAAATATTATAATAACCACCGTAAACAGTTTTTTTTTTTTTATAGGCTATTCGTCCATTTCAAATTAAATTTAAACGTTATGTTTTACGGTTTTTGTAACGGGTATTATTATTCGTTTTTTAGATTTAGAACGAAGCGAGGAATGTATTGGTTTTATTACGGCGTGCGGGGGTCTTTTTTATGTGCTTGTAAACAATTTTTCTACCAGAAATCTTGAACAGCTTTCATGTAGCATTTCTAATCTAGTTTGCGCATTGATCGGGTCAATTTTTTGAGTTTTTTCGTATTGTTTTAATAAACGGAGAAAAAACAGTAACGGTTATGAGAATAACGGTTTCAATATTTTCGGTTATGTTGTAATTTGGTTGAAAATAACTGTAGATACATGATATTTTTATAAAATAATTGTGTTGACCTTTTCCGTTTTTAAAATATTCCGGCGATATTTAAGTTATTTATAAATATTTGATAATTTCGAATTTTTATTTGGTTTTATTGCGGACAAAATTGTTTCGGCCGAGCAAAAATGTTTGAAAATCGTACACAAAGTCATTATAAGTTGTAATTATTGGTACATACAGTTTAGTGTAATGTAGTAGTTTATTTATGTACGCAGTTAAAGCCCAACAATTGTATAACAATTGTATAATAACAATTGTAGGAGCCTTTTCGTAGCATTTTCGATTGCGGTGGTTCACCGATCAGAAGGTAATTTTTTGATTTTCTTTATAGATTTTTTTAACGAGTTTTAAAATAACTGTCGATTTCTTATATTAATTGGGTTGATTTCCGGGTTCCCTATTTTGGTGACAAAAGTGAACAAAATACGACCGATTATGATCATGCTCGTTTACTATTAGAAGTCTCGCGTCGAGATCTAATTGCAACGTCCGATCCGAAAGAAAATTTTATCTAATTGGTATAACGTAAGAACGTCGCTTTTCGATATCCCGTGTAGTTTTCTTTTTCTAATCGGCGAAAAAACCGGAGAAAAACCGCAAGGACAGACGGGAAAGTAAACACTTCATGTCAGTAAAACGTCTAATGTTATGCGATATCATTATGTTCTATAAGTTCAGTATATTTATAAGACGCGCATAAATATTTATTTAAAAAGCGTTCCGTTTCTCATGATATTATAGATTATGTTATTTATGCATACATAACAATATATTAACACTCCTGCGCGTGTATGCGTACGTAAAACTCCGGAAGAAGAATAATTATAAGTAATAATAATTGCACAAGGAAGGGGAAAGAAATGCAAATTGTTATTATTTTTTTTTTTATTCCCCCGTATATATTATTATAACAATAATTGAAGACGATTTTACATTCATTGCTTCGAGCCATTATTCTTTCTTCGATTTTTTTCCCCCTCTTTTTGTCTCGTTCCCTCTTTTAACATTTTTTTTTTTCTTTTTCTTTTTTTTTTTTTTTTAGCATAAAATCATTAAGTGGATTTCGTTGTACTACTGTACGTACCTATACCTATACAATAATATATGTATAATAGTCAAGGTGACTTTTTTTTGCAACTTTTTGTTCGAAATTATCATTTATTACCGCGAGTCTAAAATTAAATTATAACGGTCACCGATAATTATTTACATAAAAAGTATAGCGTTTTCAATAAGTTCTGTCGTGTATTCTTTTCTTTTCTTTCTTTTTTTTTTTTGCATATTCAAATTTTGTTTTAATAAAGAAGCGAAAATTAAAATATATTATTAACAAGGGAAAAAGTGTCAGTTGACTTTGCATTTAATTTTCGCAGTGATCTTATTATAAAATATGATAATGTAACACTCCGTTGATATATTATTGTTATTATTATTATCTTTTACCGTTTATTTTCTTTACGGAACTTTTGAGATATCTGTCTGATAACAGTACACAGTAGGGCTCGGTCGATATCATTTTTTTTCTTCTTATATCTTCATCGTACAATAAAGCGCGGATGTTAATCGATCCGACATTTTATCTCCTCGGATCCGCGAATGGATATTAGAAAACTGGTTTTTTTTTTTTTTTTTTCAAAAATTATCGGTACATCGCGTATCGACCCAGCTCTAAATAATAGAGTTTCTAGTCGATAGTGATAGTGAAAAAGGTCCGCACGGAATCGTAATCTAACCCCTACTATGAATTAGAAAAATTAAAACAAATATAAATTAAAATCATCGTGTGTAAAAAAACAATTCGGCGGAGTCGACAGTCGACGGAATCAATATGTGCAAATGTTCGGCGTGCGGAGTCGACGGCAATCGATACATTTCTTACAGGTAAAATGATTATTTCGGCGGAATCCATATACGCCCTTTATAATACACACCCGGCGTAACCGTAAAATATGCGAAACCCCCCC